CCACAAACCCCAAGAGGAAAGAGCAGGGATCTGTTGGCTAGAGCACAAATGAGAGCTCATCTTTTTTGTTTAAGAAAGACTATATGTGGATTCTATTAAAAACAAAAACAAAAAACTAAAAATAATTCACCAAGTGGGGAAAAAGAAACAAGTGATCATTAAAGTGTCAACTACCTGCGACCCTGACCTACATTCTTACATCAGCACAAGAATTGCAAAAAATCAATGGAGGAATCATATTTATGTACTGATTAAAAGAATTTCAGGATAATGAAAGTTTAAAGAAATTCCCCTTGAGGTGATTTTCTAGTCCTGCATCTCCTACTTTATAGGACTAGTAGGAAGAGCATGGTTGAACATACAGAATCCTAAAAGACCTTAAGCACACACACACAAACACACACCAAATAAGGAAATAAAAAAGCAAACTATTTCTTTGGATTCTGGAAATTCATTATGAAAAGCCCAGTCTTCCTTCCTGGCTCTACTGGTAGCAACTTCTCCACAGGAAGCACCTCCAGCCCCTTCCTGCGAGGTCTCCCATCCATCACAACACAAGACTGGGCCAAAGCTGGGGAGGTGCTGGGATACTGATTGGGGTTCACTCTTCCTAGTATCAATTTTCTTAATTGTGAAATTAATTCCACAAAAAGTTGTCCCAGACCAATCACTTTAAAATCCCTAAATATCTTCCAGAAACACTGTGCGGGGAAACTGCCACACTTAAATGCCATCAACACACACACCCTCCTGAGAATTCCAGCACTGTTATCTGCTTTATAATCTTCATATTTAAAATACAATAGAGGTCCACCTTACTGTCCAGAAGTATTTGTATTTGCACTTGTAACTTACTCAGAGGCAAATGAAACACACTGACTTCATACTATACTCCACTAGAACCCCCATGTGCTCGCTACAAAACTCTTCTTTTTAATTAAAAAATATACCCATATCCAACTACAAATTTCCAGATATCTTCTGCAACTGAAGATCTCCGGGGTTTTTACAGAGTAAACAGCCTTTGAGGTGAAAGACAGGATGAGGGAAAATTCCCTTTGACATATAATTTTACCAGCCACTCACTCCCTCATTTGTTGATGATACAACATAAAAAAACACTACATTCAAACGAACTATTGGCAAAATAATTAATTCCTATCTGTCTTGCAATTTAACCACTAGAAACAAGATGTAACTAGCAGCATGTAACCACTAATTCTCCACAGATTACCAGCAAACCCTCCATGCTTTAAGAAATTTCTGATTTAATGTAGCACGCTGTTCAAGACTATGTCCAAATATAATAGACATAAAAGTAAATATATGTATATATATAAAAAATAGGTCATCTGAAAAAAGATAGAAAAATTAATATTAAAAAGAAGTATAGACTTCTTTTCATCTATACCACTTCACAGATATGGTTTAAGGTATTCCAGTCTGCTCTAGTGGTTCTCCATTTTGTGCTGAAATGAAGGAGATATTTTGGAAACTTTTGTAAATATTTCTGCATACATAAAACTAATTTTCACACAAGATAATTTCTTCTCTATGGAAATGACTATTTCACTGTAGCAATTGATATTAAAACAATGAGATATCTTCCTCTTGCAAGGCACCATGTCAAATACAATGCAGATTTAAGAGGCAGACTGTTCCCCATGTAGTCAAAAGCTTTAGGTAGCTGTAACACGTGACAAACTCACTGAAGTATCAATCCTTAATTTGGTGTGAAATTCACCTCTAAAATCCAATCAAAAGATTTTGTATTTACTGCCATGGTGAGCGAAGTGAAAAGCGTTAAAGTGCTTTCACCTCTCAAAAGTAGTTAAGATTTGCAGAAATGGCTGTTTGAGCAAAATCTTTACATCAGGATATCTAACTCAAATCTGCTGCTATCAGAAACTCACTGGCAGGTCGACAGCAATTTCAAGCGCTATCTCTGAGCATGAAATTCGTAACCTGGAGGCAGAAGCTCCACATCAGACATAATACTTCCAAAATAAAAAAATGAGACATACGTGTGTGTGTGTGTGTGTGTGTGTGTGTGTTATTTCTCACCAAATGAAAAATAATAAGACATTCCATCCTTCAGCCAGAAAAGGCTCACGGACCTGCATTTGGTAAGGTGAGGTATCCCAAGACTAACTTTAAAGTTGTTGAATTAGGGCCTTGAAGTGTAGATGGAAAGGAAGACAGGATACATTATCATGAGTAGCTCAGAGACAGAATCACTTTCTCATTTTAGCTGTCACACTTTCAATCACACTTTCCTGCAAATTTAACAGAAATTGAAATGCAAAATCCATGCTTGTTAATATCTAAATACATGATTCCGTGGGTTTAGGAGCTAGCACTACAATAAATGATTTTGGCTTTATTTTCTATGTCTTTGGACATCTGTTTAACTTTTATGTTAAATAATCTGGTTTTTTTCCTTCTACTTCTAAAGTAACTAGACCACTAGACACAGTATAAGCTAAATGACTATATACATAATTTTTTTAAAAAAAAAACAAAGTAAAATAATAAAACAAAGCTTTACTTTAATTGCTTGACCACATCATGTGTTTTCATTACCACAGTGGAAAATGGAGAGAAATGACTGACAAACTCAAGAACAAGTTTTAGCAGTGTATTCCTGAGTTTTAAATTGATATATTATTGATATTTGACCAAATGAGGAGAAAGAGATATTCCATCTCATTAAAGGATGCATTTTTCAACATCTTTCAGTAAAGAATTAGACCAACATTAGCTCTATTTCGTGGACTTCCATATGCTACACGTAGCACATAGGCCAGTCGCCTAAGCCAAAAGTTTCCTCCTCTCCATGTTGTTGAATTAGGGGCTTCTAAGACTCTACTATTTCAAAATAAATACAGAATATAGTAAAGAGACTAGGCTGGATATATACTAAGTCCATAGAATATCCTTTATGAGATGCAAGGGTTAATCTCTGTTTTTAATTACACCCAAGTAACTTCGATGACAGTGAATGACAGTTTATAGCAACATCTATAAACAGCAGTGACCATATTAGCTGAAGTGCAGTTATGAAACCCCTGCCAACTGCCAACACTGCTTGTGCAATTCTTTGGTTTTTTTAATCAAGTTCTACAATCCTCAGAAAATTCCCATGCTGGGATACTTGCAGGCCCTTGCAGGCCCTTGCATAAAGCTAAATCTAGGCAGATTTTAAGAATGTAACATGTCGTAACCATGACAATAACAGGAAAAACGCTTTTGACTTTTTTGTTTAGACAATATTACTTCCAAATAGTGGTTGTTTTCCTCTAGATTACTTTTGCTTGTGGCTGTCTGTCAGACTAGGCCTACAATCCTTGTAAACCTGAAGCTTTTATCAAAGTGAATAGTAATTTGGGGTGCACTAGTCTTAACCTGTATACCAGCTCCCTAAGTGGCAGGAATGAGTGCACTTGTTGAACAAATATGAGTTATTCAATTGTTGCACAGAAGAGGTGGAAAAAGTTACTGCATTTTAAGATAACCAGTATGTAAGTAAATGAGGAATCTTAAATAATAAGAGAAAAGTAGAGCATATATAAGGTTTTTTCATGTCCACTGTTAAGGTAGCTTAAAATTAAGTCCTGGAAAGACTGACTGTAAACTTTAAGAAAACACCATGGCACTCTTGTGCATTTTTTTGTTTGTTTCATACTGAATTGGGTTGTTAAGAGTTTTTAAAGTAATAAAATAAAATACAGCATTACTTCAGAAATCAATCTTTTTCCTCTGCTGTTCCCAATGGACGTGCTCACCAAACTAAGATAAGGCTTTCAAAGGATGTGTGTGATTTGGATCTGAAGTCACTTTCAAAAAGTGACTAAGGGGCTGATTTTCAAAGGCATTAAGATACATTAAGCACTTAGAAATTTTTAAACTGTCTGGGCATCTAACGCCTATTTAAATCACTTAGTCCTTTCTGAAAATCCCAGTGGACAGTTATCTACATTTTATGTGCCTGCTTCATCTTTGAAAATCTGGCCCATTAAATACTTAACAACCTCAGTCCCCCTGACTTTTAGTGAGACTTAGAGTCCTAAAAAGTGCAAGTACTTCTGAAAATTGGCCAAGCCACTCACTCTACTCTTTCCTTCTTATATCTGTTGAAGAGCAATATAGTAAAGCTCCTCTTTAGCAAGTCAGGTCAAGGTGGTCGGACTTACATAAAAGATTGAAAGGGCATAGGGTAACTACATAATAAAGGTCCCGAGTACAGGCTGCATCCTCACTAGGCTTTCTGTAACTATATATATAAAAATCCAATCTGTAATGCCTGTAATCAGTGCCCAAGATTCACTCTTTCAATAAGTATGATCCAAAATGAGATTAGTTTAGGTCCCCTCCCCCACCCCCAAAAGGAAAAAAAAAAAAAAAAAACACAAAAAAATGGTGCATTAGCAGGCAAGTTGTGAAAGAAATCCACACACCACCAGCAACAACAAAAATAATCCAGAGCAAAATGAGAAAGAGAAGGAACTAGTGAGAGGCTTTTTTAACCAGCCAGCAGGATCAGGAAAGACAAGCCTTAATTCTGAAATTTCTTTTCAAAATACGAAACTATAAGACATTCCCTTATGCAAACATTTGAAAGATTATCTTCTGATCTCGTTTAATGTCAATGGGAGGTAACTTGCACTGACCATATTCCCCCAAAGGAACCGATGTGTAAATTAGAAACACAGGGAATCAGATTGCCACCTACAGGAAAATTCAGCATTTATTGTCAAGAAAGACTCAAAAAGAACACAAATTGTTATCCTGCCACAAGCCTCTCTTCAATTCTAGTTATTATATATTGCAAAACCAATTAGTATTTTCTTTTTATGCAGCTATATCACGCACCAAATCCAGAAAGCCATTAACTTCTCCTTTTACTTAAAATTGCTCCATGAGCTAAGAATTTTGATAGTTCAGCTATAAAGCAGCAGATTGCAATCATGTTTCAGTTAACGAACTTTAAATCTGCTTACCTGATACAATTGGTGCTAGCCTGAATATGTCTGACAGTCTGCTGTTAACTGGTTCATAGGGGGAATCTTCAAGCAAATCATTTCCTAAAAACAAAAAGATTTGTTTGTTTTATATACAAGAATTCGGGACAAGATTTTGTTGTCTATACCTACTCCATAACAAAGTTACTCTGTAACAGTAAAGGTACTTGACTTTAATCTGCTTGTGTGGCTGTTTCTCCTCAAAGCACAACTTATGAATACACCTGAAAGCAGCAAGTTTTTTATCCTTGTCACTATTTTGTCTCCTTCCTTCATGGATAAAGTCATAACATGCAGAGACAGTTTTGGACATCTCAGGAACTGTCTCAACATGCCAGCAGGAGAGAAACGGTATCAGGGACGTTCCTGTTTGCTCACACTTAACATTAGCCCAGGTAACAGCTGAAAACTAGCATCCCTAGGAACAAAACTTTCCTAACAAAATTCTGGTGTGGGCAAGGAAAATGAATCTATGATGCAGGGAAAAAAGTGCAAGAAGAGTAGTAGAATTTATTATGAAAGCTGGAACAATGAGATCTAGTAATTCGTTAAAATGTTCCAATTAATGCCAGGATAAGTGAGCAGAAAGGGCCACTATTAAAGCAGAAGCAGCTACAGCAAAGAGTTAAAGGGAGGGGGTGAGGGCACTGAAATGAAGGATTGCATCTTCAACTCCAGAGGTCCTTAAGCAGTGCAAAACATGGCCAGAATGAGGTACCTCACACAAGGCCCTGACTGTTCTCAGCAGACTATGGGAAATTCGGCAATGACATCAATGAGAACACAAGTCCCAAGCCAGTCAGCGCCGTATCCTTTCTAACTCGCACTTCTGCATGCTCTGGGGAGCACCACAACTTCTTTATTCTGTCTCTGATGCCCCAGGAATGTTGCTGGCAGATATGGGAAAAGAAAGAATAAACTTCTTAAAACAACGCGCCCCCTCTATATTGCATTTAACTCGTAGCAAAGAGCTAAGGAACTAGTTCCAGTGCCCTGTGATGTTGTTAGGTGAGTCCCACTTAAGGGGTTAAAACGTTACTTAGGAGCAAGTCTCCAAGTGACTGCGTTTTGGAGCTTTTGCACTTGTTAGCGCCCTCCTCTCTGCCTCTGCTTTGGAAAGGTCAGCTGGGTCCCTGGGAGGAAACCCTCCCCGTGGCTCTCCCAACAAGAGGAGACGCAGCAGCAGCTGTTCCCGAGCTGGATGAAAGCTCCTCAGTTTGCAGCTGAAAAGCACAATGCGAGTTATGAGGTCAGACCCTCCGCTTGGGCTCCACGGTGGTCGCTAGCTGGGAAACCACGGCGCATTCGGGTGGCGCAACGTCCCCGTGTTTTGCAACATACCCTGCAAACTCTGGTACATGCTCCAGTAAATGCGCAGGCAGTTTTTCTCCTTCTTCATGCCCCTCTTGCAGCGGCAGTTGTACAGAGATTTCTGTTTGAGAGCTTCCATGGCGCTCCGGCACTCGTCCTTCGCCTCCAGGCCCGTCGCCCGGCTGAAGTTGCTCTCTTTGCCGGCTACACACTGCCTCAGCGTCCTGAATTTAGTACTACAGCTCTGCTCCTTGAGACACTGGTCGCTGGCTCTCACGCAGTCGAGGCGATCCCCTCCGGGCAGCCCGCTCACTTCTGCGGACAGGAGCACATCTAGGGAGAGAGAAGGGCAGAGACCAACACGACTCTCTGTGAGGGGCAAAGCCGGTTTAGCCTGCGAGGCGCCAGGCTCCTCCTAGCCCAGCACACGCGGCAGCACCTCACAAACTGCAGGGCTTCGGGCTGCACCTCGCGTGGCGCTTCCAGCCCCCCGGGAACAGCACCCATTTCAACCCCTCTGGCTGAATTAGGGCAAAACACGGAAAGAAAATACCCACGGGGGCTACTGTGGCCGGCAAAACAGCAGTCCCCACTCCCTGCGTCCACTTTAGGGAAGGAAATAACCTTCCCAACTCGCGTGCTCAACAGAGGGGTTAAATGCCCAGCCTCACTTTCCGTGAACGCTTTCTGTAATCTCACTTGCATCCACCAACAACCTGCTCCGAGGGATAAGTACCCTCCTTGATTGTTATTAGGCTCTTTTTGCGTCAGACACTTTTTAATAGCTGTACCTGCTTTTGCTTATGTCACATATATCTTCAAGGGTGGAAATGATTCCCTCTCCTTCCCCGGTTCTCCCCGTTCGCAGCTTTAGCAGGAGAACAAAGCGGGCTGCAGTAACCCCCTCCTCGCCAACGTGCCCCCATCTCGCCCGCTCGCACACGGGGATGGGGAGGCAACCGGGCATCTGCCACGGAAAGGAGACCAGCCTGGGCTGCGACTGCTCGCCGGGGCAGCTGGCCAGGCTCAGGTGACGAGGGGCTCCTTCAGTGTCACCCTCCAGTCCCTCTTATTTGATTAAAACGAAAACTTTCCCTCTAACTTGAGGGACCTTGCTTTAAAGAAGCTGCGCAAGCATCTCTTGCTGTAATCGCCCAGAGCCTGAAGTGCAGCCTGGGCTAAATGATGCGAGGCAGAGCCGTAAAAACTAGTGGAAACTTCACTGTTCTGCCCAAACAATAAGGCAGGGAGCACCAGGCGCTCGCAGCCCTCCGCGCTGCTTCAGAAGCGACGCGCAGGGAGAAACCAGAGCCCGCAACTCACCCGCTAAGGGCAGCGCGAAGTACAGGAGGGCGAGGAGCATCTTGCCGCCTTCGGGTGGTCTCCCCGGACGAGCTGCGGTGCCGCAACAGAGAGGATCAGCATGTAGATATCCCCAGCCCGCCGGGGTGCGAAGGCTCCAAGTGCAGATCCATTGAACCCCGGGGAATCTCTGTCGCTCGCTGCCC